TATTGGAACTTCTGGATAGATACCGGACATCTTATGGTAACTGCTACCAGAAACATTCACCTCATTATGATTCTGCTGCCTTTTCTCTCCACACCTTACCCTTTTGTGCATGCTGATGTAGTATTCTTCTCCTCCCTGTTTTATTTATATTCAACCTTGCCCGGATGGCACATCCACAGCAATGTCCACATCCACTGGTAGAACTTGGAATAAAGTGATTGTTACCCTATAGAGCTGTCTCTCCAAGTGGCCTATAATAATAGTGCCCAAATTTCACATCAGCAGAGTGAATTAGCCTAACACACCCAGATCATCACACACATGCTGTTTAGTATATTTAACATATAGATAGATAGATAGATAGATAGATAGATAGATAGATAGATAGATAGATAGATAGATAGATAGATAGATATGAAGATTATTTTAGTGACATAGATGGGTCTTACAAACCTACAACACTCATTTCTTATAAACTCTTTTAAAATACTAAATCATTCATTTTTTTTCCAGAAGATTATAGAGAGAATTACCTTGAGCTTCAACTGGGGTACTTCTCAAGGCTGCTCGTTCTATAGGCCAATATGACTCCTCACAATGCATGTCTCAACTGTGGAGCTCCCAGGCTCAGGTCACTTTATGAACATATCTACGGGGCCCCCATACTGGGTTGGGTATGGAGCATGTCCTTGCCTGTAACTTCTAGGTAATAAAAATGCAGAGGAGTGTGAGCCAGACTCTCACACTATCAAGGAAATAGCAATTTTCGGTTTGTACGTGAATCGAGGGACTTGGGTCCAAAATAGAAAAGATACCCATGTTGAGATCCCTGGAGTCCCAGCAGTCAGAGGGTAACTGCTGAAGCAAAGCTTATACTTCTCCAAGCGAAAGGCTGTTCTAGAAGATACACAAAGCATGGCACTGGGGTGACGAGCAGGCCAAATGACTTAGGTTCTGCCTGAGAAGACCTTGAGCCAGCTCTGCTTTTTTAAAGTAGCCACACTTATTTCCAAGAGGCCAACCTGTTTCTTTTTAAAGATCTGTTTTATTTACTTATATCTACAAAGGCTGCAATGCAGGCCAGAGGTGTGGGGTGGGGGTGAGAGGATTCACCAGAATGGGGAACAGAATAGGCAGATTGACTGAAATACACTGCTGAGGGGAACAGTGGGCGGGTCAGGAGAGGTCTGCCGCACCATGTATGTCAGCTTCCTGACTGGGGATTGAACTTATGCTGTGGTGGCAACTAGTACCTTCGAAGTGCTCAGACTGAACCCCTTGTACCACCAGGGAAGTCCCCATCAACCTATTTCTTAAAGAGACAATAAGTCCTGTCTTGAAAAAGTTGAAGAGGGACATTTACTTTATGTGAGCTTCCTTTCTTTTGCCACTGACCTTACAGGAATGCCTCTTGGTAGCTGTTAGTCCTTAGGTTCATACTTGGCTTTGCTCATATTTGATATCCTTCTTGCTAGCTGCTGCTAATCCTAAATTCTTACGGCTTGCAAATAATAATAGAAAAAAAAAAAAAAGGCAGACACATCTGCCCTGGGGTTCTTGGAACAAGCTCGGGCAATTCCAACTTACACACTTATTCTTTTATTTTTATATTCTTCTTCCATATTTTGAAAACATCCTGACACCATGGGTTCTGAATCTTTCAAATTGTACAAGCCACAATTAATTGTTAGCACCACTCCTATGTTCCAGGTCTTTTTATAACAGCAGTGACTTTAAGTACACATACACAATAAGCTATTCATTTTGATGTTGCTTTTGTTTAAGCAACTTTTGGGGAAAAAAATTGTACCATTTTTTTTTATTGAGGTAACATTGATTTACAATACTGTCTATGATTACACCCCTTCAGGATGTGTCTCCACCCACACCTACCACCAAGACACCCCTAGTCCTTTACCCTAGGCTGGTGGGTCCTCGCCCCCCTTTCCTAACTATCCCCTACACACAAACACACACACATACACACAAACACACACACATACAGAGACACCCTCGCTACTTCTGGTAGCCTCAGTTTTCAGCCAGGTTTCTAGGGTTTGTTCTAGCTTGGTTTTTGTCTTACCCTTAGTTGTTTTTCTTTATAACCCTCATGTGAATTAAATCATAGTAGCACCTGTGATCCTGTGTTCTTGTTTCACAATGGCATATAAATGACTCCCTAGAACTGTGTAAAAGGGCCAGAGAGAGGGAAGAAAAAAGAATGGTAAAAGGAGAATCTTTCCAGATGATAGTTTGGTCTGGGAATGCTGGGTCTTCCCTGTGGCCTTAGGAGAGTCACCGCTGCCCCCTGGTTAACTCCAAACACCATCCCTAGCAGTTTCTAGGGCAATTGTTTCTCCTTCCTTACCAGCTTCAGGAGGTAACATGGGAGGAAGCTGGTCACATCACAAAACGCTTGCTTCGCTCCATGCTGAACTCCCTCCTCCCCTGTTCCTCTCCCACCTCACGTTCTCACCCCACACCCTTCTGTGCTGAGCACTCTCTCCAAGGTTAGAGCACAGTTAGAGCTACTGCTTAGCAAGTGGCCAGCAAGACTGCTTAGCCCTTTCTACCTCCCTAACATTTCTGACTTCACCTCCTGCTGCCTTTTTGTTTGTTTGTTTTGTTTTGTTTGTTTGTTTTTTAAGATTTATTTATTTCTGCATTCAGAACTGGGGTACTAGTGGCCAGAGGTGCATGGGTGGTGAGAGGATTCACCAGAGACAGAGTGGGGAGCAGAACAGGCAGATCAATGAAGTACACTGTTGAGGGGAGCAGCGGGTGGGTCAGGAGAGGTCTGTGGCACCATGTGGGTCAGCTCCTGAGCGGGGATCGAACTCATGCTGAAGTGGCTTTAGCTTCTTAGTGCTGTGCTTTACCCGCTGCACCACCAGGGAGGGCCCCCTTTGGTTTTTTAAACCAGGATCTTTCAGAGTAGTCCACAGTGTCAGGGCATCCCCAAGGGCATTTGTATTTGTCCAGATTTGGAAGGGTCAGCGGTAGGGGGGAAGAAGGGGGAATGCTCAGAGAAAAGCATGTCTGTATACTTCTTTGCTTGTCAGGGAACAAATATGGTACCCTTTGGGTGCATGCTAATGGCTCTGTCTCTCTTTTCCCTCCACAGGGCCTGGAGCAGTCATTGATGGTGTAAACTCGGCCTCTAGAGCGCTGGCTTGTCTCTGGCTATCAGGGACCCTCTTTGCCCACTTCTTCATCAAGTTTTGATAAGAAACCATAGGTCCTCTGAACAACGCCTGCTTCTCCATACCACAGACTTTAATCTACACTGCAGAGGGCAAACCACTTTGGCTTCTTTTTTGTTTGTTTCTGTTCTTAATTTTTTGATTTTGAGGGTTTTTTGTTGATTTTTTTTTCCAGTTGAATGAGTGGGGCGGGGGAGGGGTGGGCAGGGTTCTACCATGTGTAGGGTGATCATTCATTGGTGTGTCCAAAAACGGAATCTGTTCCTGCTACCTTGGCCCTTCTCTTTCCTCTGCTTCTCTCCACATCACCATCACCACCACCAGGATTCTCATCCCCACTCTTTACACCAACTGTAACCATAATTTCCATTTGGGGGAAAAAAAAAAAAGCTAAACAAAAATAAACAAAAAAAAATGTGCCTCATGATGAACACCCTGAAGACACGACTTGACATATAATGTAGTGCACAGCAAGAGTTTTATCCAAGTGTCCTATTACCTGTGTCTCTTAAACTCTGGACCATTTTTCTGATTATAATGTACATATCCCTCCCTCAGTGTTTATTATCATCTAATTCCATTAGGGTTCACATCCTTTCTTTCTATGAAGTCATCTCAATATATTCATGCCTTCTGATCCTCTCTAGCTTCTCTGCCTTGTTCACCTACACCACCAGCTACAGGGATTAAAGGATGGGGCCATGCACACTACCCAAAACTAAACATTTATAAATCAAGCAACCAAAAAATAAATAAATAAATAAATAAAGGAAGAGCCATTTTGAAGATTATACTTCTCTTTAAAAAAATGCTGTCCAACTCATAAAAAATGACCCATACATGGCTGATGATTTAGGTTTTATCAAGCTATCAGTCAAAGTGCTCATATGGTTATCCATCTCCACAATTGTCTGATTTATCTCTCCAGCCAATTATCTGCCCACCCATCTTCCCCTCTAGCAATCTCTTTACTCTGTTTATCAATCTATCAATGTAATTATCTAATGCTTCTTTCTACTTCTCCCCCTACTACTTACTATCAATGCATCACCATATTAATCTCTAATCATATTGTGTCTATTCCACTGTATTCATTTCTTTAGCAGACATTGGCATCTACAAAATTGCCTATCAACTTCTCATGTGAAAGCTAATGATCTCACAAGCTAACAACCTAGAAAAGCAATATGTCATGGACTCTGGAATATCACATTCTGTCCACCCAAAGTAGATGCTGTTGACAGATGGACCAAAGTAGCAATCTAATAATCAGTCACTCACTATTCCCAGAAGAGATTGTTTCCTAAAACATCTTCTTGGGAAGCAGAAAAGCCCTAGAAAAGCCTTCATTAGTGCTGTGTATTTTTTTTGTTGTTGTTGTTGTGTTCTTTCACATTTGAAGGCCTAAGATGTCAACCATCACGCTTCCCTCAGCCCTTCAAGAAAATGCAAGTCCAGGCACATATGGGACTGACTCTATAGATGGCTTTCTTTAATGGCCTACAAGAACACATGCCTGCAATGTGAAGAGAGTAGTCCACTTGTGTGTGTGCAGGGACTTCAGCTATTGTCTCCTCTCTCCTCTGGTTTGGGTTTAATCTGTTTGAAAACTATCCAGTAAAAAGCTGATGGAAGCCAATTACATGGCGGGTATGTTGACAACTCTGGTATTTGTTTCAGGAAGCTCTTGTGAGCTGAGGGCACTTGAGGTACTGACTTAATTTCCAAGCACTTGATTAACACAACACTGCAAACAGAAGGGGGAAGTGCAAGTGACACACAGTTTCCTCCAAACAGGCAGCTTCTCCAGTGGCTTTGAGGAAGAACATCCTCAGCTCTCCATGTTCAGAGTAGATCCAGCAGGTGAACAAGAGCTGACCTGACCTTTCTGCATTACCTCCTGGGACAGGACAGGCTCTGACAGCAAGAGGACCTGTGATCCAAAAGAATGGCATTGAAAACTACACAAGATAGCGCCTCTCTTTACCTGTGCCACAGGGACTGACCTACTGAGAGGATGAGAAAGAGGCATCAACAATGACTGTCTTACAGACCTGTGCTGCCTCAATCGGAAAACTCTTTCAGGTCCACACTCTAAAAATAATAAATACAAAATCTGTAGAGTTTCATTTCCTTAGTGTTTAATTGATACTCTTCTTCTAACATAAGTGGCCTCTGTTTTCATCCATGATGACACTCACAGTGGGGATCACAACTATAGATATACATGGATATGTGTATATATATGCATCCATCTCTGTGTATATATGCACATGCTCTCACAGTTGTAAGTTTTTGGGCATACATAAAACTAGGCACTGTCATTATACTTAGAGCTGGTGAGAGTGAAATTACGATTACATTTGCCAGCTACAAACAGATACCTGCGTTTATCCTGAGCTGCCAGGAGCCACATCCTGAGAACATAAATGATATGCCCAAAGTAGTGTCTCCTTTTTGTGTCCCAGGGAGCATCTCTAACAGGCTGGGAGTCAGTACAGGGCAGGACAGCACATTTCAGTTGTCACCACACTTGGCACTCGGAGCAGGGTCAGTGACAGACATCATGTAAGAACTGAAGGTGTCCTGTGTGCATGTCCTATCAACAATCCATTTGTTACTTTGCAGTCTAACGAATGGGGGGCTGAGGGAGTAATGGCCTGGAGAACACAGCACTTGCAAGGGGATCAGCATCCATGCTCTTCACTCCCAGACTTGCTTTGAGGGACAGTCTTTCCTCCTCTGGCCAAGAAAGTCACCAGAACCTTTGGGACACAACCGGACCAGGTCTCAGTGTCACTATGGAACTCTCTCTGCCCGTCTGAGCACCAGGAAGCGCCTCTGGTTAGTTGCCGATTCCAGCCACGTTTTCAAAGAGGAAAACTCCAACAGTCAATCCTCATGTCTGGAACAAGAAAAACAAGTAAATAAGACCCATGGAAACTGGGGCACTGGGAAAAGTGATGACTCCTCACAACAGATGTTCCAGTCGCCACGCTGCTTGGGTGATGAGTGGCATGGCTGCTCGCAACAGTCGCGACCATCGCTGCTAATGGACATTCTGAAGCTAATAAATCAGTAACTGCATACTGAAGACAATGTCCACACTTCCATATGCTCTTACCACCTCACCTGTGGAGCAAAAATGGATGTGTCCGTCTGGATAGATATTTTTTTCAAGTCTCCAAGGGCTGGATGGGTGTAGGGGGAAAAAGTGGAGATACAAAGTCTCTGATCAGCCCATGGTTCTTCAGTGGAAGGAAATCAAACAGGGTTGTGGGCAGATGAGGTGAGAGGAATTCAGCAAACCCTTCCCTTCCCAAACAAAATCAGTATGTATCTCCACCAAAGTGAAGCCAATGAAAGTGCTTAGTGTTAAGGCTTTGGCCAAGGTTGTTTTTCAGAAGTTTCAAGTCAAGTGCCTGATACAGTCATCTGCAAGTCTGAGCAAATGCATTTATTTTTTTCTCATTCTTGTGTTAAGGGGGGGTGGGGGTGGGAGGGGAACCATGGGGGAAAGTCGGGGAAACCTGCAGGCTTTTTGTGCAGAGAGCACTGTGGTTCCACTGAAACTGTGCACAAATGCACAGACAAAAAAAGGTAAGATTTAGTAGCAAGATGAGTGGGGCCTCTCTCCCTGCACCCCACACCTCATACTGGATCACACCTTTCACAGGTTGGGCGGTCACTTCTCAGAACAAGGGTGGGATGTCTGCGTATGACTCGGGACGCTCCACAACTGAGGCTGAGTTTAAGGCTCTGCTTGGGCATCCGTGGAGTTGCCCACACAGAGGAGTTAGCATGTGCCACCTGTGTTGGAAGAACTCGTAGGTGAAAAGTGGAGAGCGCCTTACAGTGGCAGTAGCTTGCTGCCAGTGCATCAGATTTGGCTCTACTCTTGTTCAGGTCAGTGCATCCTATGCCCGTGGGGGTGCCTGCTGCTCTACAGTTGGGCAAGGCCAACTTCACCCCTGTCCATGCAAGAAGGGGAGGGGTGGCTCAACCCGAGGGGAGCTGCAGGGGCTCACTCATCTCTCCTACTTTGACCTTGAGGACTCATGAAAGAAAAACTAGCTTTGCAAAACCTGGAGCTACCCTCTGACAATAAACACAAATAAATAGAAAGGAGAGTTTAATCCCTTCGGATTTAGGGGAAGTAGCATAACATTTTTCTTTTTGGCAAAACACATTTTTCTCTTTTGCTCCACCAGTTTTGTTTTTCTGTTTGCCCAAACCTGTTCCTGGAAACATTTACCCAGTTACCTCCCCTTCCACAGTCCAAAGCGTCCCTGTCTTTTTTAAGAGAAATAAGTGAGAGCAGTTGCTGTACAACTTCACAGGTGTACAACTAGGAAGGCAACATTTTCAAAAAGATTCCATATGATGAGAAATCCTAATAGTCACTAAAAGCAAACAAATAAAAATGCCAAGCTCATTTCCCTCATTTCTTAAAAGAAGAGAAGTAAATGAAAGGAGGAAGAAATAGATTTGCAATTAAAAGATGTGGCAAAAAAGATAGAGCTGAACCCATGCAATTTAGCCTTCAGGTGCAAAACATTCGCGTCCAAAGGAATGTGGAGTGGACTTGATTAGACTCAATTGTCTTCATCCTGAAAGTAGTCATCGCAGCCTGATTTCCAGTAGTTTGAAAGTGATTCCTTTTTGTTTCTTCCTCTGGCGCCCTTTTAGATGCATATGGTCCTTCTAGTTGTTTCCACACCATTGATTGGAGAAAGAAAGATTGTGAACCCTCTACTGTCCTTTCAGGGCCACATTCTACACTGTTGGCAGGTTTATAAAGCGATCAATAATAGCGATGATAAGTAATAATAGCTGCCCTTGTGTTAGTTAAAGGGAGCATTTTTAATCATTCAACAAATTTTGTGATATGTAAAGTACAGTTGTGAGGAATGTGTGGGTGTACGAAAATGTATCTGTTAAGTTCAGAGTCCTCTAGATTAAAAAAGAAAATATGACTTATCAATGGTGCCATTATAGCTGTGTCAGACAATGGGTGTGTCCATTCTCACAATTATCCTTAAAACAAATCTATGTTCAAATGCTTTAAAAATTTATCACACGATGCAAGAGTATAACTTTGTCAGCCTTCTAGAGTTCTTTTTTCCTTTTCTTTCTTATTTTTTCCTTCAAAAATCAATGAAGACTTGATTTTTGTCAATAATTGTATTAAGGGTGAATATACTACCTGAATTTTGTGCATGTTACATTGTAGTTGTAACCTTTTCTAATTCAGGATGAATACGAGATGGTTGTGATTGTGCAGTGTATCAATAAAGTTTGAAGAAATTTGTAACTTTTGGGGGGTTGTTTATTAGGGCATTTCTCATGAGTATCCAGGAATGGAGAAAAGTGAAACAGGTTCTGCTTCTTTCTGTGTGCTTTAGGCTTTGGTGAGTAGATACAAGCAGGAAATGGTGTAGTCTATTTTGCTCACTATCCCTCTCTTTCACAAATACACACACACATATATTAGAAGTCAGTCTAAGCACTTCCCACTTTGCACCTATATATTAAATACCTGTGTCATTTGCAAATAATATATAGTGCTGTGGCAACCATAAAATCTAAATGATTTATTGGAGCTAGTCTAAAATGAAATCAGAAGTTGCAGAAAAAAAAAATAGTGATCAGATACGGCTCATTCTGGGTACTCCTTAACATTTTCTGTGAGTTGACTCCACTGAATTAAACACCACATTAACAAGTGTAATGATGAGAAAATACAGTGACAGTCATGTGCCTTGCTCCCTAAACATGTCTGCTCTTGTTTTAATTGTTCCCATAGTATCCATCTGGGTCATCTATGAGAAGGAGAACTGGAAGACAAGCATCATTCCTCTGCCTGTTCTGCAATATTTTTCAATAAAACTCCAAGTCCTCTACCTACCTTTATCCCACAGCTATCTGATTTTCCCCAGGGATGTATAGTATCTCTTTCTTACAACTCAACTTCACTCTGGCCATTTGTATACTAGCTAATCCTCCTAATTCTACCATGAACTAGCTATGTGACCTTGGGCTAGACACTTGATCTTCCTACTTTTGTTTCTTCATCTGTACCATTTGTGAGCTGATAACACACAGTACATTCTAGAACAAAATTTCCCAGACCATTTTTATTTATCCTTCAATTATGGGACTTTTTCAAGACTACCCCTGAACACCAATAATAATGCTGAAGACCAATGGCTGATTATGGTTTGGGAATACATGAGTACGTGAGTTAAGAACCTAACTGGCTAAAGCTCTGAGTTAAAGTTATGAGGCTTATTCATTGTTGGCTTCTGAGGTAGACAAGAACTAATCTTCTGACATTGGCTCAATCTACCCCATAAAGTGGAATACAGAAAACTTGGTAGATGAGATCCTGTTATTTGTAAATTAAGATGTAAGGAAATGGTGGGTACTGATGATGTGGTTTCGTTTTCCTAAGGCAAAGCTCGTTATGAAATCATGACTTGCCACGGAAATGGATACTCAGTTCCTATAACCTTCTTCATAACTTTAGAACTTCCTTTTTTTCCTACCCTTTTTCTTCATCCTTTAATTTATCCTTTCCAGCCACACCTGGCTCTCTCCTGGTCCTGCTCACACCACAACATTTATTTCTCCATCCATCTGCTCCTGGATGGCTTAGACATTTATCGGTCCTTTGCTCCATCTGGCCACTCAGCTCCATCCATCATCGATGTCCCAATTTATTCCTCCATCAGCTAAGCACTCACCTAATCATTCACATATTATTTCCCCATTTATCTAACCCTTATTCCAGCTATACACTCAAGTGCCTCCCTAATATGACTGTTCCCTATCTATTTATTTAAGCCATCTATCCATTCTTCACCTGTCAACCTATCCACCAAGCTTCCTCCAACTAGGCACTGGCAGATAACACCTATTTACCAACTCACTTCAAGTTAATGAAAATCTTTGCTGTTATCTTTTCATTCTGCAAGGAAAGCTTTATCTAGTTATTCTTAAGCACAGCAGCCAAACAATCAGATGTGTTTTGTTATCTTCACCCAATACACACCCTATTAAAAATGTACATGGAGAAGTGCTTTAGGAAATATATTAGGGATGTATTTGTTCCTATCAGTATGTACTACTGCAATAAGGATAAAGAATTGGGAATAGAGTGGAAATACCCAGATGAGATATGGATGTTTGACTTTCTAACAATAGGCATGCAGTCAGGGAATGTGCAAGTGTCCAAAGGAAACAGACAGAAGGCACCTCACGTGGCCACTAACTGTTCTTGTCTGTTTGAGTTTTATTGTTTTTATTTTGATGAAAATTAGGGAATGGGAATAATTGGTACTGATACCTATGATCCGATTAATAAAACCCAAACTGTAAAGGTACAGATGATGTCACCTTCCTTAAATATGCTCATCTGGTCACTAGGAAATCTGTTTTCTTATATTTTTTCCATTTATTTGTTTATTCATACATTACATTAACATCCCTTAAGGAGCTCATATTCAAGATATGGAAACAACTTAAAAAAAAAAAAAAAGAGGCCCTCCCTGGTGGCACAGCGGGTTAAAGCACAGCACAAAGAAGCTTCAGCCACTTCCGCATAAGTTCAGTTCCCTGCCTGCCCTGGAGGTGACCCACATGGCATGGCAGACCTCTCCTGACCCACCCGCTGCTCCCCTCAGCAGTGTACTTCGTCTATCTGCCTGTTCTGCACCCCAGTCTGTCTCTGGTGAATCCTCTCACCCTCTGCATCTCTGGCCTGTACCCCAGTTCTATACAAATAAATAAATTAAATCTTAAAAAAAAAAAGAAAAGAAAAATTACACTTCAATATTGCAAGTATTACAAAACAGATATGAGAAAATGAACACTAGGGAATGACTAGGGACTTCTCCACCCACTTCCTCCTAGGGATGAAATGCTCAGATATAGACAGCAAATCCAGGAAATGGCTATATTGTTGCAAAAAAAAAATAAACAGGATAAATGGCACATGCAGTGTTCAAGTCTTCATTGATGGAGTTAATATATATAAACTGGAGGAAAAGGTATCATGAAAAAAGCTAAGACCTTAAGTGGCCAGTGAGCCATACTGTGTGTGGTGATAAACAGACACAAGACCTCCTAAAGAGCAGAAGTAGCATCCAGAATATCCAATCTGGTTAGAGTATAAAGTTTCATTCCCACACAGGGTTACTGAGTATTTTATCTTTCACTGGATCTCATAACTCTGTAAGCTTTTTTTTTTTTTAATGATTTATTTACTTATGCATACAAGAGCTAGGGTGAAGGCCAGAGGAGGGGTTTGGGGGTGGTGAGAGGATTCACAGAGACAGAGTGAGGAGCATAACATATGGATTGACTGAAATACACTACTGAGAAGAACAGTGGGTGACACAGGAGAGGTCTGCTGTGCCATGTGGGTCACCTCCCTGGCTGGAGATTGAACTCATGCTGCAGTAGCTGCCTATAGCT